TGCTTTATACTTAGGCATGTCTGAACGCGTTTGACAAGATTTGAAAAGTCCAAAAAACCAGACAGAAAGACAATGTTGCTGCAATTTCGATCAACTGTTGTTATTAGACGATGTCGAAACTATTATGATAGAGATACGAAAAGATGTATTAAAAAGAAGATTTTAATATGCAGAATAGGGCAAAACGTACTCCACTATATCCACGAGGCTGTTCTAAATAGATAACATATTGTGATACACTTACACAATCTCTTATCAAGGCATAAATCTTCGTTAGTGCATGAAGATAAAACAAATTCTATGAAAATATTGATTGGTGCGTAAAGTTATTTTCCCTATTATCAACAGAATGTGTAAAAACGGTTTTGAACGCGTCTACCACCATATTCAAACACGCGAAGCATTATGACGTACTCAATTTATATAATAAATGCTATGACATATGAGTGCATTGGAAAATAAGGCGCTTTCGAAGACGTTCATAAAAGCCAAGTATGTTCTCAAGCGTCTATAGAAAGCGGGTGTGAACGCATTTGTTTATTGAGTGGAATCTAAACAAAATTTTAACGTGACAAAGCATACTTTTCGTTCAAACGCATTCCCTAGTTTGCCTAGACGTCTCCTTGTAGTCAAGTGCATAAATATCGAGTGTGAAATGTTGAAAGTCGACAATCCTTATAAATCCTAGATTCACGAGTTTTTAAAAGCTTGAATAAGCAAATCATCTAGGCATTCATATACATGGTATGACAATGTTGTTGAAGAAAAAGTCCCCAACGAAGGCGAAATTGAATTTTCACCATTCTGCTTTCGACATTTTTACTCTCGATATTTGCCAATCATGTCGTTTGAATATCTACTTCCATACTTGAAAAGGAGTTTTACAACAATCAACAAACGCATCAGATAAATTGATCGAGGGTTGTCTGAAATGAGTGGCACCTTAATACAATTATTTATAACAAAAGTTTATTTAAAACTTTCCTAAATCTGTTTCATGACTACGTGGGTATACTCACATTAGAAAATAATCGATTATAATTGACGATTACTTGGTGTTGCTGTGGGTCCGATCTAAGAGGAAACCTATACTAACATGTATACTCATACATCACACTGCATTCATTCTCACACATTTACCCTGATTGCTCGCCATGTGATTGATAATGTTTTCTAGAGATGTATTTAGCAGATGTTTTAGTCAGAAAATTACTATTAGTATCAAAATCAATAAACGATTAATGAAAACTGAGTCAATTAGATGCATTTTAACTATTTTCGTGATCTATTTTTGTTTTTCATAGACCTCATCGCTTGGAACAGACGGTTGAAATCACGATAAAGATATATTATCTAGGAAGAAAACCCAAGATATCATATGTCTAAACACGAAACGGTCATTGCAGTGAAATTCATTTTTCAACTGAATGCTGAAGAGGACCATGAGTAGTGGCTCCAACGAAAATTTTTGAAATGCATCAGATCGCCTCAGTTTTCGACGCTAATTCACAATCTGCTAATAGTTTTGATGCCAACAGCAACTTTCTGACTCAGAAATCTACTAAATATCATTCAAAAAGGCACAAAACCATGTTTAAAAAAGAGTGTCACTCAGGTGGTTGATATTCCTTGAGTTTGAAAAATATATGCTTTGGTAGTTTTCGGAAAGTCTCATTGATTAGTATATAAAGGTCGGTTGCAACGTAAACTACTGAGTCTCTATCAGTCAACAGACTACTGAGCAGAACTCGATTTCTAGTTAACATACCACTGATTGGCAATGAAGCAACAACTAACATACAATGGTCAAATTTTTCAACAAGCTTCTTCTTACAGTAATCCATTCTCAATTTAATGTTTTATCGGATGATACGAACCCAAAAATAGAAGCAATATTATTGTGCAAAGCTATTAGAAATATACTTCACAATATCGACGATAATAAACTAAGAGTAATATTTCCATCTCATATTACTTTAAATATCACTCAATCGATTCGAAATTATTGCAAAACGACTCAGCGTAAAATCTACATCCAACTACGCATAAACTTCAATAGGACATTAATAAATAAATTATAGTTTTATGCGTTCTCTTACTTTTAAGAAGGAGTAGCAGTTGCAAATATTTTCGTTAACACTAATCTAATCAATTGGAATCCACACGTACAGACGAAAATAAGTGCTTCAAAGATATATCCTGCTCCCAACTAGATAAAAACATCAATTGATAAAATAAAAGATATGAATTCGAAAGAAAAGAAAACTCTGATGGTACTAATAATGCAACGTCAATACCATTCTTCTTCAAAAGCGCATAAATAATCTACGGAAGTATGCATGCTTTGTATTACATATTAATAGTATATAGCTAAAGCGCATTAGTATCATTTGACGCATTTTTTATTTTTGAGTCTTTTTCAAGTTACCAAATTATATTTATCGAAGAAAAAATCGATCCACATCGGTAGTAAATAGTATCGTGATTCGGTGCAATATACATTGAATAAATAAAACCCACTTATTGTGCAAAGTGACAGCACTTTATCTTTATTTTACTTGGAAAAAATAAAGTTGAGTTAATTTACCAAGTAAAATAAAGGTGAAGTGGTACCCTTAAATGTATGCAAGTAATAGTTACACTCAGAAGTTTCCAAATATACATTTTCAGGCGTGAGGGTGTGGATATAGGTGCTGGTGCGTGCTGTAGAAGGTTCCGAGTACGGGGTGTAGATGAGGATGAGTGCTTTTTTCTTTTTCATTCATATCTACTGCCACCCATAGCGAAGATTGCTTCAATCGTAAATTGCAGAAGTCGCTGTTACTGAATGGTTTTGCAGTTCGAATCACATTTAAAAAGAGGTAATGCAATTGGCTTTCTCATTCACGAAATAATTAACAAAATGTCTTAACAAAATAAATTCCTACAACAAAACTCAAGGTTTGAAAAAAAACTTAGTGCGATTCTTACGAAAGTATAATTTGAAACACCATAGAACTGTTCGTCTTGATAGCTGTGAGGGTGAGGATGAGGGTGCATGGGTAGGTGAAGCATATAGGAGTGAAGAGGAAAGTATCATCCACCTACTCTTATAAGAAATTTATTTTGTCGACACTCTGAGATCATATGTGGGCTATAACACATGTTGTGTACCTTTCATCCCTACTATTGAATTCAGAACTGCAACAGTATTCTTTGCATGAGTTTCAATCATCAGGCGTTATAAACCTGATAAAATAAGATTCTGCGAAAAACTTGCCTTCTTATCTTTTTGAATGATATGCTATTAAAAATATGATAAAATGAGCTTTGTTATGAATCTTGTATGCTTTCGTTTTAAAATCAAAATACTGAGCACACCTACATGTGAGATCTAAAATGAGCCTTCACACAGTTTTGCAGTTCGCATTCGGTACACAAAAATCGATTGATCTAATATTTCGGATTTGACTATATTTCGAGTAGACTTTTCGTTTGAGACATAAACATCCAGGTCGAAGATTTCGCCCCTCATATCCCGCAGAAACTTGCATGGAACGTCGAGATTTCCTGACAATTCCCACCAGACCTCACTTCTTTTCGACTTGGAACACACCCTATCGGAACAAAGCTTTCCGTCACAATTCCCGCTAATGGAACCCACCGTAAGAAAACCGATTTACGGTCAGAAAAACAACGAACTCGCAAGTATTATCTCGAATTTGCGTCGTATCCACCAGGAGTCACACCGAAATCAGTGCTTCTGCTTCAGGAAAAACGAAGCAAGCCACTATAAACAAAGACTCGAATACCGTTGATTTGGCATTGAGATCTTAAAAAATCTCAAAAATGAAATTATCAGATCGGGTCTCAAATAGGTTTCAATGAGACCCAAGGGTGGGGTCAGGGTGAGAGGAGGGTCTATGTTATACTTTTGCTTTTCACTCTCATCCTCGCCCTCATGATACAAGCATACAAACTTATTTTATCTCATATGAATCTTGCTTCAATTGAGGGGATAATAAGAGAAGAAAACAATAGAAAATGGACCTCTTTTAATGACGGTCGCTTTATCACAAAAGTCACTATACAGTTTATATATTTTCACTGAGTCACTAAGAAAGACAAAAGTTCATCTTTAGGTACCTTCATTATTCTCTGAGTCATATCAGGCAACAAAGTATGTGTTTCTACGTCAGAGCTAGGCTACAGTTAAATCATTCTCCGACTTCTATGTTTAAGTTTGATTTTTATGAAGCTACCTGTTAGGGACGTACAGTGAAATTGTATATTTTTCAACACACTTCTTTCTATTTTGGACACAAGAATTTTTTGCTTTTTGATCAAATCTACAATAAATGTCTCCCAAGATGCCCTTGCTGATGGGTCTTGTTTGAAACCATTAAACAGCTATTGTTCTTTAGACAAAGAGGAAATCGATGCTGTTAATCTGGAAGTAACTGTACGAAAAAGCCAAAAATCATTGCGATGTGTAAAAAGCGTCTTACTTATCCACCTCTGGTGTATTGTTCACACACCATTTTTACTGAAAAACACGTATTTTTATTTCCAACAACTCAAACTGTTCATAGCAATGGTTTTTATTGTATTTCTTGTCGCTTGCTGAATTTATTCTTTTCTTATGCGTCGAATAACGCAGAAAAAATTGAATGTTGTTGTTCTATAATCATTGCAGAATAAATTACATAGTAGCTTTCGTTTATACGTCGGCGAAAGGAAGATAGCTCAAGTTTCATTTATATTTATTCATTTTGAAATGTTTATAAAGTAACAAAATTCACTTTGTATACGTTACTCGACGCGCTCTTTCATGTGAACAGATCAAAAAACATTTTTGACTTTAATAGGCTTTTGATTTTTATGATCTGTTTCTTCTGAAACTGGACTATGGACGCATAGCAGCTCGTTTCATGTTGATATTTGGATTCAGCATGATCGATTACTTATAGTCTGCTAGATTTCAGACCACAAGCGAATTATCAGTAGGGAACACTTCGTCGTTAGTTCATAATTGCAAACATTTTCACATGATGTTTATTTCTTTCAGTCACGTAAAGATTTCCATAACTATCAAATTGTACACCAGCAACTGAAGTTAGATTTCGATCAATAATTTCTGTACTATTTTTCTTTGGATTCAATCGATATATAACGTATGATGAAATTTTCTCTAGCTTGTTAATATGAGTAAAGTATATATTATTATTGCAATCCAATGTAAAAATCAATTGTTCAGAATTATAAGTATATGGTAGTCCAGAAAAGACTGTCATACTTGAAAGACTACCTGCTGACCATTTATTTATAGTTCGTTGTAGAATATCATAAATATAGAGAGAAAATTGTTGGTCAATATAAAATGGCGTTCTATTATTAAGAAATGATATGATTCCAATTGAATAATAATAATTTGGTGCAAACCATTTTCTAATATCACTGTTTGTTAAGATGTAAATATTTAAATCTTGATCTAAGTAGAAATTACGGAAATTTTCATTAGCATGTATTAGAATCGTTCCATGTTTATTGTAGTTGTTATTGTACCAAACTTTGACAAATGAATTTGTTTTATTAGGACGATCAAGGACATAGATATCATGTGTTTCACTAACATAAATACTTAGTGGATTAAAAATCAATCCACGATTAATAGCTGTACTAACAGTCTGATCAGTAATATTATACTTTTGAATTCTTAAATTACCAGAATCAAGAATATAGAGAATATCATCAGAAGTGATAAATAGTCGAGTTGGCAAACATAGTTGTTCTTTAGCTGAACCACAACCAAGCACAGAATTACCTAGAATTACTTCACCAATAAGCATCCATGTTGAATCTGATGCTATTTCACAAGGAGTGACGTCAGTTTCATTATCCAATGAACTGATTGTATCTTAAAAGAAGACAATAAATAGTTTTACTTCAAGTAAATCAAACTTCAATCCAAGAAAAGGCATCCATAGAAAATTTTAGTTACTTACTATTGTAGAGCGTTACTTCACGTTCAATTGTATATTTTATTACATTATTTCTTTTTATATTCAACACATAGATATCACCGTTTGTTTCATCATATGCCATAGCTTCAAATTTTACAGAAGAATTCAATATTTCAATTCCGTCGAAACCGGTTATTTCAAATCTATTATATAATTTTGCTTCATTTCGACTGTAGACAATGAAGTTTCCATGACAATCGGGTACAACACTACGTGCTTTAGCAAACAAGTGTGAAACGATTGTTTCGCCTTCTTTAGCATCGGATGACCATTTCTGAATTCGTCTGTTCTTCTGATCAACTACAAAGAGGTCAGAATTTGCTTCGTCTAGATAAATACTAAATGGTAAATTAAGCTGACTGCGATCAGATCCTTGTATACCGTTACCAGCTGCAATTGTATAGTTAGAGTAGACAGGTGCATAGTATTTCACAACGCGATGATTTTCAGTTTCAGTCACGTAAATATTCTTCTTTTTATCGACATAAAACCTATAACAATCGCCTTTGCTACTTAGAAGTTTCGTTCCTTCGTTTGCTTGCTTTGACCAAAACCAAATACTATATGAAAAACTAGATTTGAGAATGTTCTGAGTATAATTATCGCCATACTGTACTTCCAAAACATACAAGTTATCATCGAAATCGATAAAGGATGAGCGCATCCCTTTCAAATTTGGCAGTCGATTACTACTTTCTCCAAGAATAACAAAACCTTGTTCCAGAGAATTGATATCAAACATAATTATACGATCAATTTCTGTTACATAAAGTCGTTTTCTCTGCTGATCTAAGAATAAATCTGTACTATGCTGTCTATTTAGACGAAATTTCCAATAATAATTTTGTAAATTTTGACCAACAAGTATTTGACCAGTTTGATTGTAAATAGACGTACGAGCTGGTAGACATGTTTTTAATGTTAAGTTGTTAATGATTAAATCAACTGAAAGACAGAATATATGAATGGAAAAGTATAAAATAACGTACGCATTCTTTGTTTACTTGGTGGCTTTTTAGTTGTATGGTGTGGTTTGATAGTTGATCTCGCAGTGCGAGTTGAAAGTGTTTCAGTGACAGTCTTATTATCATTTCGTTTGTTTAAAAATGATGTCAAACAAATTATCAGAACGATGTTAATTAAGATGATGGAAACTATAATTATAATAACTACTTTCAAATGATTTTTACAGAAGCTCTTGAGCGATCCAGATTGATGATGATCATAGATCGGATCTATGGGTAAGCCTAATCCTGTAAAGTTCATGATGCAGTACTTTTATGATTGCAGAAGAAAAAAAGAACGCAAAAGGTTTAGAATAATAATAATAATAATATGTCCACCTTTTTGTAAATGTATGCATATGCTTTATTTGCACAGAGTGCAGAATATTTATGAGTAACAGCAGATGCACTACCTTTTTTTCTCCTTGTAATATATTGATTTAAAGAAAAAGGAAAGAAATAAAAAGAGGGAAGTAAGATTCTATTCAAGGATTATAAACGCTTCCTACTGTAGTTTAATTATAAAGAATGTAAAGAAAAAATTGATCGAATGTTTAACTCTTCGAATCGCATAGTACAAAAATAGCTACACTTATTTTATAATTATTTTTCATAACATAAGAGTGGCTTGAGGGTGAAGGTCAATTAAAAATAAATATTCAAGAAATCCAAAAGAGAATTTTCAAGTTTGAAAAAAGCTACAACGACGGGTTTCAGTCTTTCTCAGAGATCTCATGAGATGGCTTAATTTACAAAAGTGATCTATTCAAAATATTTAAGTAAATAACTAAAATAGCGAAGAATTTATTTCTTACACGATAAGTTTTATAACAAACTGAGAACGAGCGAGTTGAGTGTAGAGTGTGGGTAGGCTTCTTCAGGATACTATGATATTCACACTCAGATACACACCCACAACCTGTGACATCCCTTACAGATGATGATATGTTTTTGGTGTGCATTTAGGCAGTTTTTACTTACACACACACGAACATTTAAACAGTCACATGCACTTTTTCGTTTTTCCAACCATTTGAGTAAAGGAACAAAGAGAAAAGCGAAGATTTGTTTTGAAAAAGTAATCAAGTGGTGGAGAAAAAGGACAAAGCTTTACATGTAGAATGGGTTTGTTGGAGAATGTGCGTGTCTCAGAATGTAGTTGTCGTTGTGGGGAGTATTTGGTGTAGTTGACTGTATTTGAATAGAACACATATCCACACTCACATCCTGAATCGCGAGACGTTAAACGGATTTTGTAAGTATCTCGCATCGTTTTCTATGCATTCACGTTGCTTTCTTATTCTCTGCTAGGAACAATATGGATGAAGAAACTGATGAGAAACGCGTTCAGTTGATGGGCATCGTACCAAAGAGCGTCATCTTCAACGAAGTTATTCACTTCTTAGGTGTTATTTCGAGCAACTCATGACCCCTTCATTAATATGAAGCTGTCATATGCAGTTTTATCTCCATTGAACAGACGTACAGCAATAAGCAAATGCAAATGCAAACTTCTGCGTTCAAATCATTCGATTCAATTCTGGAGCGTGTTCAACAGAGGCGGATCGACGAAATGAGCCTATTTGAGGTGAACGTTGCATGGGATCACAAAGCTGGAATCATGTTCTATACAGCCATAGTTCACTTACTGTCAAGTTCGACTCAATGGTACGAATCGAACAGTATCTATTTGGACTTCGACGGTCAAGTTCACATCAAACTCGATTACATGCAACAGTTCTATACCGATCTGTCAATTTGGGATATTTTTCGAATACAAATGTCATTCATGGTCTTATGCGATGAGCAGCGTGCCAACGATATCATCCACTCAATCATGCTCATTGTGGAACAGAGCTGTGGTGATTTGCCAAAATGCTCACTTGCCAATGGTTACACCAATTGCGTGGTTGAATCTCATGCTGATAGTGTATTGAGTGACTTGATGATGAAACAAGAACATGATATTGATCTCAATCTGACCGTAGTATTAATAAAATTTCGTAATTAGACTCAAACATAGATACAATAATGACATTAAGGATCCGAGGTACGGCAATTGGTATAGAGCAGCGTGGGGTGTGAGTGCGGGTGCGGGTGCGGGTGTTTTTAGCATAAGCTACACCCACACCCTTAGACCTATCATCTGAAAAAAATATGCTTTTAAATACATCAATGTCGTACTATTGGACATAGTTATGCACTATCGAAAATCGATTTTAGAGGAAGAAGGTCTTAAAATGAATTCTTCATGAAGATTTTCTAATAATGAAGTATTATCGTCATGACGCTGGTTATTTGATAACATCTCGTATTTATTTTGTAATGAATTTTACTTTTCAACTTGCTGTGGTACTTGTTTTACTCTATGGAATAGAATTCGTTTACGTATGATACTTATATGTTCGATCGATTTATTTTATTATTCATTGATCAGTTTAGCATTGTATACTTTCATTGGTATATATTTCTTTTTTCTGTTTCTCAATTATTAATAAAAGTCTTTTTTGATACAAGGTTCCTGGTATATTGGGTATCTAACGGATGGTTATATTGATGCTATTTTTCTTTGAGGTATGATTATCAGAGGAATATACCTTCCATCTGATATACAATCATATGTGGGAGTTTTTCAAGTAATCGATTTAGCCTTTCGGAAAAGAAAGATAAACCATATAATTGTGTTTTCGTTTTAATTCCATTGACATTATCTTTGTGTTCATCCTGTTATTATCGTTATATTCAACTTCAATCGAGTATTGGTCTTGATGAATCTCATTGTAATCGTACCATTCGAATATTAACTGTTTATACTCTTTTTGGTTATACTATTTTAATCTGTTTTATCTTGGTCGTTTGCAAACACAGTATCCTATAAATTCGCAGTGATAAAATCACCATTTGGTTTACCATTGGCGGTATTTTGATTATTTTTTTATGGAAAATCAAAACGGTTAAAAATAGAAGATTATAAACTTCAATCAATCACAAATGATAATAATTATTCAATGCATGAAAATCATATTGAAGTTGATAATAAGCAGAACAACTGGACTCAAAGATCATTGAAAAAACTTTTACTGTGGCATTTTCAGAGGCCCAATGCATAATACTCACAAAATCTGACTGTTATAAATTTATGATATATTATCAGAGAGATTAAAATAATTTATTTTACGAATTCCAAATGAATGAAAAAATTAAAATTGTAACGATTGTTTCAGCAGTTCATACCTACACTCTGACTTTTTATTTTGTCGAAAATGTTTGCGAGTGTATTTGTCGATTTGCGGTATGAGCATGAGGTGAATATTGATGTACGTGTGTTAGAATGTGTGTGGGTTGTTAGTCTTCTCTTCATTGGCACTCAATCTCACACTAACACCCACAATGTATATGAAGAGATATAGATTGATTTCTAGTTCAACATACTTATGTGAAATTTGAGTATTAGTGTTGACATTTCAAATGACGCCTTCACTTCTAAGAATATTCATCGAAATGTTCAATGTTTTGAAATCGATCAACAAAAATTTTTGATTAAGAAAAAGTAAAACACTGTAGTTCACTAATTCAATAAATCATTTGATGAGATGAAAAATGTCACTATGGTATTATGTAGTTGTTGTCAACTACTGATTATTTTTTCGGCCCATCTTTTAGAAATTCGACCAATTATTCTTTCATGACTATTGCAAGCTATTTTTCTTCTTTTTTTGTTTAATCTATTTTTTAAATAGCATTAAATTTCAAAATTGGTTATTGCGCTAAAAGAGAAATAAAAAAGCACTTTGGACTGTATTTTTTTCAAGGTTGACAAAAAAATTTCGTAGTCAAGGAATCCAAATTTATAGATAGTTTTAAAATTTTAAAAACTATTTTCTGATGCTTAGAAGTCCAAAAGCGAAGTATAGATTCGGATTGCTTAACGACGAGAATAGTGTGCCGTATTTTTAAAAGCTCAGTCCAAATTGCCTTTATATCGATTTTTGAACGAGACATTCGATTTCAAAATGTAAACTAAATAACCTATGAGTTCGAATCCTTTAACTGCGAATATCTACACTTGGCAGTAGGAAAAATAATTGCTTTCTTGTAATATTACTTCTTGAACAAAAATAATCAAGCTAATAACATCTCCGTTTTCCGGCAACATAGCAGTAACTTTCTTTACCTATTTGTAATCTTGGCTTTTCGAAATTTGTTCCATTCGTTCTCTTACATAATATCTGATTGTAGTCTTTCACATACAGTTTTATTTTATTCGCTTATTTATTTGATAAAAAAAAATACTATAAAAAAGAAACGTACAATTCGATTTTTACATTGTCTTCACGTTCTGACTTTTCACTGATACATTCATGTCAATTTCACGGTAACATAAAATTTGCACTTGTGATCGTAATTCTGTTCAAGCTGAACTGGTAATGTGAGTTGATTTCCATCAACTACTACAGATGTGCATGTCGTATCTCCAAGAATAATTTGAATGCCTCTTTGAAAAACAAGTTGAGTGTTGACACTTTTTTTCTTGAAATTCATAACTTGAACATCGATCTCATAAGTTTCGAAGAATATGGATGTGTTTCTATTGCTCTTCGATGTCAAATTGCCTTTTACAATATAGCGAACATCATTGTCACGACCAACACTAATTGATTGTGTGAAATTTTCTGGAATATCGGGCAAACTCGATTGACTAACAAGTACTCGATTATCATAAATAGAAATAATGCCAGCCGGCATGAAATGATCAGGTGTCAAATCGTAATTTCTTTGAAAGACGCCTTGATACTGTCCTGTGTTAATACTTGTCAACGCTTTGTAATAGAACCGATACTTAGCAACAATATCAATGAATGATAAACGAATAGAACTCAACGAACGAAGTGTATATTGATCGTTCAATGAGTAAGAATACAAACCTTTGTTTTCGCCATCATTTTGAATTTGCTCGAAGCTTGCATCTCCCCCATTGCCAGGAGACATATCATTAAAGTTTGGATAATTGGTAACTAATTGTACATCACCACCTAACAGATGAGTATTTTCTACTTTATATTCTCGTTGTCGATCATTCTTGATATTTGCATAAGCACGAAGTTTGACCTCTAACATGCAAGAAAATGTTTAATAGTAGGACATTTAAATAAAAGAAAATTAATCTACCCACCAGTATTGTCTGTCAAAAAAAGATCATAGTTAGGTTTCCACGTAATTCCTTTCATTAAATAGGACAATGTTCCATTGAATTCTGTCGAATTACTTTCAAATTGAAACAACAATACAGTTCCACCATTGTTTGGCCGTGTCGATGTGTATTCAATCGACTGTTGATCAGCATAAAAATATGCTCCTGTATTCAAATTTTGGAGTAACATCGAATTGGGATCGATGATTTTCGCTTGAATCGTTTCACATTTACATACTGTAGATCGTTGTACTGTTACCTTGGCATCTTGGAGTGATTCAATCGTATTATAGATTTCTTGTCGAACAAATGGTGTACCTTCCCAACTGATTGATCCATCAATGATGTTTTCGTATTCAGATTTTATAAATTCATGCGTATATAGACCGAGTCCATTGTGAAGCTGACGAACTTGAGTAAAACTTTTGTAGATAAACAATTCGACGGCTAGCAAAGACCGACTTAAATAGATCAGAACAAACCAAACAAGCAACATTCTGTTGACGTGTCTAGAAAAACCAAAGTTTCTAGTCACCGATGCATCACTAACTTTTTAGAGAACACTTATACGTTTATAAACAGAGACACAATCAAAAGCTAGGACTTTTTTTCAAAAATAATTCTATTCACACAGTGCAAAGTGTAATCTATCATATGGATCGACTTTGCCTTCTATTGTTTTAGACAATGCAGTTTTTTATTTTCTTTATTCAACCGAGAATCGACCCCATGGTCAAATATTGATTTTTCGAACCAGTTCTCTAACTGTTGAAGTATCGACGTACGATGAACATATATTTATCTCGCTAAACGATATTTAATCATCGAAAGGTATAAACATTGACACGAGATTTACGACGCAATTGGACATAATAAGCCTATAGTGTATAAAGTAAATATGATGACGATTTTACTTCCTTTCCTCCATTGTCGAGGTTCATGTAATGTGTTCAAAGTTTTAAAGAAGCATTGATAATGTCTTTTGAAAATTAGTCATATATCTTTCTTCTGTGAACATAAAAAAACACCAGAATTCATTAAAATTTGAGTGTCTACATGAAATATTAGGACGAAATCGAGCTAATATTGTTATCTTGGAACTTCTCGAAGAAAAAATTGGTTCAGAGTTTCAAAGAGACTGCATTTTTCGAATTATATGCTCAATGCGGACTGCTTTTCAAATGAAACACAATAAAAAAAAAACATTTATGCCTAATGAGTTGGTATCTTATTTTGAGGATTTTTCAGAGATTTGAGTTCGAAAAATAATCCATATCATATCGGAAGCTGAAGAATTTTACAAAGAAAATGAAGCAACACTAATAATGACCTAATTCTTGTACTTTACTTTAGCGTCTACACGACTTCGTTTTAGAATATGACTTTGTACGACAGTAATTGATATTTAAGTCTTGTATTTTAGTGCCTTGTTTGAATCACTCTAGGAAGACGTCTATGAAGATAGAGAACTTTTTCGTTCGAATGCAGTACCGAGCAGATAAGACTTTTAAGGCTGTGGTAATTGAAATCCAGTGTAAAGATGATGAAAACAGGTCTTAATCTAATCATAGCATTGAAAGTTGGAGAAAACTCTGCATCTTTCACGCATGAAATGAAACCTTCGAATATGAAAAGACTGGTCAAAAGATGAGTTGCAAATGACATCATTACTTCTGTCTATGCTACTATATTTTTCCCGCGTTTCAATAGTTCAATGATTAGAGCACCAGTTCGAACACTCACTATTCTGTCATAGGTTCAATTCTCGATTGAAAGACATCATTCTTTTCTGTTTCTTTATTGATAACCAAAGGAAGTAGGAACAGTATGGGCAACAAAAGAAACATTATCAATAATTCATTAAAATGTTGACTACATTACACGAACGGTGAAAATAGAGTAAAATCATCATCATCTTCGCTTGATTCAAAAATAGATTCGCTATGTTCGAATGTGTCGTACATGTGATGGTCATGATGATATCTTGCAATGATTTAATATCATTCTCAGTTCAAAATCTTATACACAAATTCATCCAAGATATCTGTGTTATTCTAGCTTCTACAAATGAAAAAAACTCACAGTAAAATCAGCAGTATCGAAACACAACGAGATGTGAATATTAAGTGTCGTTGAGATATTATAAGATTTATTTAGTTATTTGGGTATCGCTTCATATATAAATATATCAGTATATGAGTACAAAAATAGTAAGAGAGAAAAATCTATGTGCGCATATAACGATACGCAATACACTTACTTTGGACCTTTTTCTAAAGCAGCAACCGATGATAAATAGCATTCAAATTATTCGAACATTTACTGCAGATTCATCATTCCATATTGCAAATCCAAGCATGATGTTTTTGTAAAGCTTTTACAAGCAAAAACCAATCAAGTGATTAAAAAGAAATTTATGATTCATTAGTTTTTGATGATTTCTTGAAAAATCATACTGCGTAAAATCATCACCATGTAGATAGAAACACACATTACTTTTATGTTTCTATTTTTTATTACTTAATTGTACAACACTCGAGAGTGCTTAAAATAGAGATTGAAAAGAAACAGTGAAGAAGGATGAAGTAGAAAAAAGAGAAAAAGTGTAATAAATCTAGTTTATTCCCTTGACTGAATCAAGAGTAATGTGAAAATAAAATAAGTTTGTGCGTGTGTATTTGCGTATGTCAGCTTACACGTGTATGTTCACGTGTCAACAAATTGTCTTTCAAAGTTTGAGTAACTATTTTAGGTAAATATTTAAAATGGTACCTTCAATCAATCAGGTGTTTTCGTTATCTAACTCTCGTCTAATCGAATGATTTTGACATCTGAGTTTCATCAACGCAGATGTTTCTATTGAAAGTTCAAGCAAGTCTGATTCTATTAGCTCTAGTTTAGCAAGTGTGATTTTCTGTACGATATTAACAATCAATGAAATATATTCTGTTTGAGATTTACTTAAAAAATTGAGAATGAAAAACGTGATATTGAGGTATTCGACGTTTTTTTATCGATATTATTGTTCGAACGGT